TTTCCTGCTGCAACTCAAGTCTGTGGTAGCCTGTGGGATGGCATTTTGCATGTCTCCATCTGCAGCTTGCTGGAAGGAGAGGCAGAGGAGAGCTTCCCCACGGACTGATGGGCCCATAATGCAAATAAGCCATGAAACTGTATTTGGAAGTGGATGGGGGGTTTACAGTGGGCTGGATTCAGAGCTCGGGTTCATAGCCATCAAAGGAAATGTAGAAACAGATTTTATTACTACAAAGATCTTCTGGCTCCATCAAAATTGGTGGTTATCCTTTTGTTTTGGTTTGGGGGTTGTGCTTTGAGGGTGAAGCAGCAAGCTGTGGGGAGGAGCAGGCCTCTTGTGTGAATGCTTTCATGTAGCAACCCCCCCTTCCCCATCTAAATACTTGATGGGAAATCTGTGATCAGCCCTAAAAATCTCCGCCCTGCTCTGGAGCCACTGATGGCTTTGTGCATCGCTCTGAGAACTCCGGGGTGTTTTATATGTTCCCAGTGCATGTGGATCATGAATGAATTCGTTTGTCTGGGAACGAGTTGATGGCAGCAATTAAATTGGCTCTGTAGCTGCCAAAGTGTCTTTAACTGGCACGAGCCTTGCAGGGCACTGGGACAAAAAACTTGAAAGCTCAGGGAGAAGAAAGGGGTCGGCATCACTGTCATTTGTCGTTCGTGTACCAGGGAGTGTCCTTGGGGATGGTCTGGTTCACGTTAAAGTGCTTGGAAGGGCTTGAATAAGGTCCTTATTGCCGTAATCGATGCCAAACTCATGGCATGGGGCAGGGCAAGGTTTTCTCAGCTGTCTGTGCCTCCACATCCCATCACGTTGTTAATGCCATGCACAGATTTTAGGGGTTTTGGGGGAAGCTAATGCCCAAATAAACCCAACCTGAGCCCACAGAGCCCCTGAGGCAGAGAGGATGCCCCGGTGTAGAAGGGGGACACCTCCTCCCATGGCCACTGGGGACTCTCCCTGCTCCAATCAGCTCTCATGAATCTGACCTGCAGCATCTTTAATCACGTAATGCTGGTTTTCTCCTTGGGAGTTTGCAGGTTGATGGGGCTGTGGATGTTTTAGGTTTGGCCCCACACAAAGTGCAATATAACATGGAAAAACCAAAGCAAACCCAGGGTCCCCTCTGTGTGAGTTGTGGAGGGATCTGAGCTTTCCGTGGCTAACTGAAGCACTGGGTTTTTTCTCATGTGCAGTAGGTGGGAGCTCTGGGCTCACTTTGCTCTCCCAGTCCCTCTTGAATACCTGGGTCCCAAGGGACAGAGACATTAGGGAGGAAGATCTTCAGCTCACAGCGCACAAAAACTGTGGGGAAAATAGCCCAGTGAGTGAGCAGTAATGTTGGTTCTGTTCTCTCATCTTCCTACAAAATGGGTGTTAATCAATGTAACGGATAAGAATGACTGGGAATGGTGGAGACTGTGGCCATTTCATAGACTTAAAGTTGGCCGGTGATGCTGTAAGCTTGAATCTGTGACATCCGCATTCATGCTCTGACAGCAGAGGAGGTTCATGGTGTTGTGCCAGAGGCTTTGGGTTTGGATGGGGAGGAGGAGGGGAGGCACTTATAAATAGTTACAGAGCCCTTTTACCTAATAAGGGCTACTGAAAAAAACCCATCCTCACTTTGGCTTCTCTTTCCCCTTGCAGCCAGCTTGAAATTTCCCATTCATGATATAGTTTTGAAAGTATTGCTTGAAGGTTTTTTATTTCCTTCTCTTCTCTGCCTTCAGAAATGTTGAACACAAACTGCTTCTGCCCCGGTCTGCTCTACATGGGATGTGAAAAGAGGTGTTTTAATATCTGATGCAGCAGCTCACAGGGATTCGGGGCCGGGAGCAAGATCTCCTGTATGGCATCTTCAAATCTGGGTGGTTGTGGTCCAGCTCAGCTCATTTATTCTCCTGTTATATCACTGGTACAAGATCAGGCTATTTGAAAAAGTATGGTCTGATGCCAAACCAGAGGAGTTAATGGGATTTCTTTCTGGTCTTCTTGTGGGACTTTGACTTGACCCATTCAGTGGCTGAGCACTAAGAGCAGCATCAAGACAAAGAGGGGGTTTGCCATGACAGTGCACTGAGTAGCACTCCATTAGAGCAGGTTTGAAGCCGATGCCCAGACTGGAAGCAGTCAGCTGCCTCTTTGGCAAGAGCTGGGATTTGGGTGGAGGTGGCCTTTAACCAATGGCCCAGATGAAAACAAGGATCCTCAGGCTTTTGTCATGCCAACATGCTGGCAACTGTCCCTGTGAGCGGAGCAAAGAGCTGCCACCTTTAGTACTTGCAGGAGTAAGGAGGAGGGGGAAAATGCAGTGACTTACTGCAACTATTGCCAGGCAGCAGAGGTGAGACAGAATTTATTGCTTATTGAGCTGGGCTGCTTAACAGATATGAAATTCTCCACTTGAACTGTGTTGGGGTTTCTCTGGAGAGCTGCTGCTCCCCTTTTCCCCCCTCTTGTTTCTCTCATTCTATGTGTAGCCACTAAGCAGGAGGACCTGGGCTGGGGGCCGTACTGTAAGTAAGTAATGAATCAGATTTGTGCAGCTGGGGAAAGAAAATGCCAAATAATAGCTGCAAAGCTTGGATAAATGAGTTGGGGCTGTGTTTATTGGTTTGGGTGTTTTTAATAAGTGCTTTCCTGCAGCCGACTGCTTTACAAAGTGAATGGACCTTCTGTAGCTCCCAGGAAATAATGAGATACTCCTTTTTTGTCTGTTTATTTTAGGTAGTCTGGGGTTTTGACTGAAGTAAACAGTTTTTACAATATCTGGCGCTCTAAAATGTAAAGTGTAGCATGTGTTAGGGAAAACAAACACCAAAAGAAATGCAGTAAAGTGGGGTGAAAGATGGTTTTGAGCATGAAGGCAAGTGCCGACCCACCTGGAGAAAGGCTCTTCTTGTCTTCAGCTTCAACAGGAGGTTCTGTTGTCAGCAAGTTGGGAACTTGGAAATGGAAAGCATCCTCTGGGCCCAGCACAGGAGGGATTGGAGTAGGCAGCAGAAGGCAGGCTGGCTTGTAGAGGATTTGGATTCTCCCCTATTTCAAAGCAATGACATTCCTAGGAGCAAAGGGCAAGCTGAACAGTTGTAGGACTAAAAACTCTTAATAGAAAGAGCAGAGGTGCTGGCAAAGTGCCCTGGCTCGCACATCGCTTTGTATCTGGCCGCATCCCTTCCCAAGGATCTCAAAGCCCACCCCCCTCCCCTGGGTGCTTACATCCCCACTTATATCCCTGTTTGCATTAAGAAGTTGTGCCCCTTCTTGCAAATCTAGCCAAGAGCTCAAGAAGAGCCAGCAGCAGCCCCTTGTTGCTGTGAGCTCCAGCACCCACCACTTTTAGACGATGCTTTTCGACATCAAGCAGAGAACAGCAATTTTAAATGACCTTTAAGGCTCTTGAAACTCAGTAGATTGATTGTGCTGTGTTTGCAGAGCCCCAAACTTCTGCCGTGGTGCTGAGGGGGGGAAGGCCCAGAGGGATATGAAGGCAGTTCAGATAATCATGCTGTGTTATTGGTGTTGTCATGCAGGGGCGATGGAAGCTTTCCAAGGGTTTGTTCCTCTCCAGTATCCTTCACGGCCACAAAGGTTTCAGCTATCTTGGTTTCTTTACGTGTGGGGCAGATAGCAAAGCTGGCTGGACACTGCTTGTTCCCTGGTCATTTGATGGGAATGAATGGGATGAATGGGCATCATACTGTGCCTATATTCAAGAATCTTTTGTTTGGGTTTGAGGCAGTCTGAGGCTGGTTTGTGTTTGCAGATTGTTCCAGCTTCACCTGAGAATTCATTGCTGCCTCGTTTTTGCTTACCCAAGCAACTGTGTAGATTTATCATTTCCGAGGACAGCCTCCTTACCTGATTCTTATTTCCTCTTCACCCTCTGCGGTGCCAGGGAACCCTCTTCAATAGTGATTTCCTTGTCACTGATTTTATTAAAACGTGCCATGGTGAATTGCCTCAACACATGCGAGCCCACCAGATCGCTGGAGATATTTTAGACTGTGCAAGTGTTTCTCAGGCAGAGTCCCAGCTCAGGTGGTTCAGCTGCCATAGGGACAATGCTCTCACTCACACTAAGAGCATTGTCACCACTGGCCAAGAGGCAGATGGCAAAAGCAAGACTGTCTGGTTTTGTTGCATGGATACTAGTGTGCTCTGAGCTGGACTTTGCATGATCAAGGCTTCTTACCTCCAGCTGCATAAGAACGTTTGACCAAAACCCCAGAGGTACCCAGATCTATTGGCATCTGCCATGTCTTCCATGGGAGAAGGCAAAGTCCCCAAGTGCTCCAATCACATCATGTTTAATGGCTTTCAAAATATGTGTTTACTTTCAGGGCACAAAACAGTATTTGATGCTACCCAGAAGCTTTCCCAGTGTGGAGCATCATGCTCCTGGGAAGGACCTGAGCCAGTGCAGAGGTGATGGGTATCTCTTTGGTGGGTTTGATGGGAGATGGGCAGGTTGAAAGCCACTGCAGTGAGTCTGGAGTGTCCTGACCAGGGTCTTTCCTGCCATATGAAACAATCTCTTGTGGCTGTCCCCTGATCCCAGATCACTCTGGTTAAGAGGTTAAACCATTGCATCTTTTAACAGTAGTTCAGCGTGAAGCAAATCCAAGCAAACATCTTGCATCTAAAAGATGCTTTGCTCAAAGCTCTCTGTTTCCAGAGGGGACAAGCAGAAACTCCTCTAATTGTTGCAGATTGAGCGTGAGGGAAAGTCCAGGAGTGAGGCCAGTTTGAGCTACAGATCAATGGTATCATGTGAAGCTTCCCAATTCAAATGAGGTTATCTCCTGGATTATGTAGGGCTTGTGTGATGGATTGATATTGGGCAGATTTATGACAACTAGAGCAGGATACCATATTGGATGGGATGGTGTTTACATATTTTAACATAATCTTGAGGAAGAAGATGAAAAGCTGGAAGGGTCAAAACAAATGGTTTTATATTCTTCTTCCTCTCTCTGTCTTTGTAGGTTGGTAATATCCTACCCAAATGCATAAATCCAGTTCCTGGCTATCTGCAGTGGAGTTTTCTCCATCCTGTGCAATGTAATTTCAGGCGCTATGTGCCGTGCATAACCTGGCAACCCACCTACACACAGCAGCCGAACGGAGGCAAAGTTATCTAATAACAATTGAATATTTGACTTGAAGCAACTTGCTTTGCAGCCTCGAACTATTGACTTGCTGTGGTACCCGAGAATTAAAAACACAGGCAAGGGAAAGCAAATTGGCATCTTAAAAGGTGACTCTGACTTGAGTGATCTGCTTAATGAGGTTTTCTTTTCTATTTCCTATGGCAGCAAAGATAAAGCCACCGGCCTTAAGTTGAGCTAATATCCATCATGGAGGTGAATATTGCATTTGGTATTGTCTGGCTCTGGAGAAGCCACAGCCACATGGTTCCACATGCTGCATTCCTGCTCTCCAGAAAGTTCAGGTCAGTTCCCAAGTCCTTCAGAGATCATGGAATCACAGAACCCAATGTTCTAGGTGTGGCCTGACAAGTGCTGGGTAGAGTGGGATAATGACATCTTTATCTCTGCTGGTGATGTCCTCCTTGATGTTCCCCAGCACTCTGTTGGCATTCTTTGCTGCAGCTGCACACTGTTCACTCCTATTGAGCTTGTGTCCACCAGGATCTCCAAGTCCCTTCCCACGTTGCTGCTCCCCAGCCAGGCAGATCCCAGCTTGTGCTGCACTCTTGGATTGTATTTACCCAGGTGCAAGACCTTACACTTTTGTTGGAATTTCATTAGGTTCTTGTCAGCCCATTCTTCCAGCCTATCCAGCTCATTCTGCAGGATGCTCTCCCTTCCAAAGAGTCCGCTTCCCCATTCAGTTTGGTATCATCAGTAGGATACATCAGGATACATTTGATCCCATTATCCAGGTCACTTTATGAAGACATTGGGCATTGGGCCTATGATGCTGGTGACTGAAGTGCAGCCGATTCCAGGGTGGAGCATGTTGACTGCTCTGTAACAACCAGACACACAATATAATGTTTAACCAGGAGAAGGCACTGAAGTATTTGCTTATAGTCCTCTGGGAATTTAACCCCAAGTTAAGTTCCAGTTAAACCCCAGTTCTCAGGAGTTGTCTAATGACTGGGTTTGAAAGGGAAAAGCAGCAAGAAAAAGCCATCTTAACAAGCAAATGGCACAGGTCTGGCTGAGCTTGTTCCTTTCTTTAAGGCACAAGCTCTTGTGCTGTTAGGGATGTTTACACATTGGGATACAGGGAGCATACCGGAGTAATGCAATTCTCCGTGTCGTTAGTCACTAAATTAATCCCTGCATTTCTTTGTCAGAAAGTTGGCACCGCATCCTGCCATTGTGAGCAGCGGGGCTAATGAGCACATTCTTCAATATTAATCTTACAATCAAGTCTTATTGACTCATCATCTCATACTCGTCCTACCAAAGTCTCACTTCGTGGAAAGTTAGAGTTGTGCTGCAGGGAAGGGTTTGGTGATGGGGCAGGAGCCAGGCACTGGCTTTAGGCTCTGCAGTTTGTGCTGGGGTTGATTCCCTGTTTCCCTTGGGATGTGTGTGCAGTGGGCTCATAGAATCATCACTGGGACTGATGAGTTAAGGAATACTTTGCTTATGAGAGGATAGGCATTTGCACGCCAGCACGCACGGTGCTGTTGGCAGCATTGGTTTTGGAGCTTCCTGCTGATAGCAGTATTTGTTGGGAGAAGCTCATTCTTAGGAAGCCAAAATTAAAGGGTTAAGTTGATATATGGCAGCAAATGGACTTCTAGATACTGGGTTTGGATGATTCCTCCTGGAAAGATAATAGTTACCTGTGAAGATAAGCCCAAGTGCCGTGGGTATGGGCTTTCTTCTTGCTTTTCCATGGTACTTTTCATAGACTCATAGAATGGTTGAAGTTGGAAGGGACCTTAAAAACCATCTAGTTTCAACCCCCTGCCATGGGCAGGGACTCCTTCCCCTTTTCTTACTCTGTGCCCATTGGGCCCCAAACTGTTGTCACTGAACAACTGTGGCACTTCCACAGTTTTCCCTTTCCACCTCTTATTCTTTTATCCCCTCTCCCATCTTTCACCCTGCTCCACTTTTCCCACGCCCTCCAAGTTCAGACCTTAGTCACAGCCAAGTTTGAATAGGACTAAAATGAGGTCAGACAAACTCCTCTGTCCCCATTAGAAGATGCGACACAGTTTTGATGTTGAAAACTACCTTTATGGTGTCACTTGCCATTAGCCATGTAGCTAAAGCCAGCACAGCCTCTCTTGCTGTGTCTGAGGCCTCCCTAGCCATGTTTATTGTAGATGTACATCTTCTTGCATTTTCAAAGACAAATCAGGTACTCAGCACTTGGGAATGTCTCCTTTGGTGTTTTTACATATTATTGATGTCAGTGAGAAAGGCAGGGGCCCCTCTGTGTTGATGTGAATATGGATGTTTAAAATGATGGCACACACTGTAGCTCAAGGGTTTGGCATCCAGAGGCCGCTATCACCAGTGGATCTAAACCCTGCTTTCTGCCTAATGGTTGTTAGAAATAATCTAAGCTCTCAAGGGAATTTAAAACTAAGGGTGAATGGAGAGAGCTAAAGAGCATGGCATGGTTTGGGTGCAGCTTTGGGACCTGCTTTGCTTGGTTGGGACTAAGGCTTTGTGCTAGTGATCACTGCATAGCATAAGCATTGGTCATCATGTCCCCTAAGATTCCCCAAAGCCCTGAGCGGCCCCACAGCAGTCCCCCTGTGGGTCACAGTCTAAGTTCTGCCAAGTTATTTTGCTGGGGTGTTGCGTATTCCAGCATTTCCTTGTGAATCTCTGTTCAGAAGTGATGAAATCTGCATTTCCACTCCAAAACTGCAAGCTCTGCTGACCTAATCTGGGCTTGCAGCTGAACGGGATTTTCCTCTGTATGCAGTGCTGCCAAGGGCTGTGTTCATGCCAGAGCTGACAGCTCTTCATCCCCTGGTGAGCCCCTCTACCCGGCATCACGCCTGCTGTCCCGATTACTCCTGCATAGGGCATCAGGCTGTTCTGTTACTTATCTGCTACCCCCTGCATGGCTCAAGGGGTTGGAAAAGAGCAGAAAGGCTCATTCTGTCCTAAAAGCTGGATCTGAACACCAAACGCCCCCAGGGGCACTCATCTTTAGAGCCATTTCTCAGAGCAGCACTAGGATGGGTCCATGCAGCATCACTGTCACGGACCAAGGTTGCTTTGGACGTGATTTGGAATAATTAATCCTTGGTCCATGCACTTCCAGACCTCTCCAGCAGTTCCAACTGCGTCTGGATCTTGTGTGTGCATGTGGGGGATTTGCTATCCAATTGGCCAGAGCCATAAATACAGAGTTTGTGTCAGCTTAATACTTTTGTGTTGGCATCTTGCAGACTGTAGAGGACAGCGAAATGCCTGATCCAGCATTTATATGATCGAAAGAGCCCTACAGCCATAGTTATTGTATGACAGAAGAGCCTTGGTTTCAAGGCTGTCGTTTTGAAGACTTCTTTCTGTCTTTCCTTTCCAAGCAGAAAGGAGTGAGCATGACCTGGAAAGCTGGGAAGTGCAGGAAAAATGCCATGGAAAAACCTTCTCCTACCCCCCTCCTGGAGGATTCTTTTGAATGAATTTATGAGGATTTTAATAGTTGAATTTGGGAGTTTCTTTGAGGCTCTGAGGAGTGCACATGCCCTTGCTCTGCACTGTGGCTATTGGGGTGCACTAGGAGTTAGAGGATGCTGCCTGTCCCTGGTCCTACACAGCTTAAAAGGGGTTAAATGGAGTAGTTGGTGGGGGGGAAAGGAGAAAAATCCAGTTGAGAGTATGTGTGTTTGCTGCCGAGTTGTAAACTTCTCGAAAATATGGACTTATAAGGCAAGGGTAAAGAATCTCATTTTAATCTTCTTGTATTAATGGGTAGTGGGTCTATTTTTAAATAGATTTACAAGAGGAGAGAAGTTCCCTTTTGTGAAATGGAGCAAAAAGTATTCTGAACCCGACTGTGTTCAATGGAGCATCCTCACTTTAGCGGCCCAGCAGGAAGTCATCGAACCCCACTGGTTTTCCTTTATTTCTCATCTCCCCCCAGTAAAATAAAGGCTTGGGAAGGAAGTGACAAGCGTCACGTGAGTGGTAGCACAGAGGGTGATCACCCGTGTGTGGTGGGCGCTGAGCCTCTGACATTAACAGTGTCTGCTCCCACCCTAGCTGCCATTTTTGCCCTGTCTCATCAGTTTACAGCTGTGAATGTCAAATTTGGCTCCGAAGGAGGGGTTTGAAGGGGAGAGAGGAGCAGGATTGTGCTTTGGGGTCTGCGTGTTCATCTGTGAAGAGGGCCGCGATGTGCATGTGTTTTGTTGAGGAGTTTGGGTTAGTTGGACCGCATTGGGTAAGAGAAAACTTAAGCATGTGCCTAAGTACAGGCATGACTCCCACATACAGGAATCACTTGTGGTAATTAACTGGTATTAATGAGCAATCGGCAGCTAAATCTGTTCATACAGGTGGGTCAGCAGAGCAGGGCCAGGCTTTCCGAGGCTGCTTTTGGGAAGGCTGGGATGAAAAGGCTCTTTCATTGCCCTGATTTGGGCTCGATTTGAGCTATCCCCAAATCACAGAATCTCAGATTAGATTGGCTGGAAGCGACCTTCAAGCTCATCCAGCTCCAAACCCTGTCACAGGCAGGGACACCTTCCACTAGAGCAGCTTGCTCCAAGCCCTTGTATCCAACCTGGCCTTGAGCACTGCCAGGGATGGGGCAAGTCTTCCAGCTTCAGCTCAGTAAAACAGTGCATCTTGGCTGTGTAGGAAGCAATGGGGTCATTTCTGCATCATCCCACTGCCTGCCCCTTCGTGGTCTGTATGGGGCTGAGCTCAGCTAACCCCAAAGGCTGCAGTGGGACTAATCCAAGGTGCTGACATCTGCACAGACACCCTACACCCATGCACAGCTCAGGCTTAAGACACTGGAGCTGTCCCAGGCAGAGAAACTCGATAGGACAGTTTAATCCTTGGCTGCGACAGTGAAAATATCAAGGTCAAATGTGCACTGTCATGAAGGTTTCGTTTTCCCCCCGCACTCCCTTAACCTTTCCTTTTATACAAGATACATATATCAGCATGACTGCTCTCCAACTGACGAGGCTCAGCTGATGTTTCTGTCCCCACTGCACGTGTGATGGTCGAGTGGGCTGATGCTTCCTCTTCTCC